CAGGGCGCGGCCATTGGTGACGCACGCCAGGGAGCCGGCAACCGCATTTCCAACATTAGCGAGGCCTCACACCCAGCTCTCCAAGTTCGGGGCTGGAGGCGTCCCTCCTTAGCTTCCTCCTCTAGGAGGCGGGTCGGCCCCGCCCCTGCGCCCCAGGTCGCTCCCCGCCGCCCCGCCCACCTCCTACTCCTGGCCTCCCCTGGCGCAGCACACTCCCCACCGGCCCGCAGCCTGACACGCAGCGTGGTCCCTCAGTCTCCCGCGGTCGCCTCCCCAGGCATGGCACAGGGCCTCGCCGCACTATGGCAGCAGCAAGGCACAGCACGCTCGACTTCACGCTCGGCGCCAAAGGTGAGGGCGCCGCTCGCCACCTGCACCGGCGCCTCGGTGGCGGCAGCGGCAGCGGCGGTGGCGGCCGTGAGGTCGTCCCCTCCGCGCCTGCGGTGCTGAGGCCAGGGCCAGGCTCTGGGGCGCGCGCCGCTTACTGAACAATGCGGGCGACCGCGCGGCGCCTGCGTCTCCCCCGGCTGCAGCGCTGAGCACGCCGCTGCTGGCCCTCCTGCATCGGTGGAGGCCGCGCCGCGCCGCTCCGCTCCCTGCTGTGCTCAGTGCTAGGTCCTCGCCGAGCTCGCTGGTGGCCGCACTGCGGGGCCTGGGGGGGAGCTGCAGCGATGTGTGCCAGCCGCACCGCCCTTCCGGGCCTGGATTGTAGGTCCACGCGGGCTCGCTGCCCTCCACGCCCCGCTGGAGGGTAAATCCCTTTCAGGCTGTGGGGCGCGGCGGCTCCCCGGTGGGGGCGGGTGCCAGGCGCTGTGGCCAGTTCGAGGCACGACCCGCGAGGCAGGCCTGGGCGGGGGGTGTGCTCGGCGCGGGACTGCTGCCCACGCCACCTTTTCCTGTGCTGGCAGGCTGCTGAATTTCCCTCTTGGGGGTGGGGTGGGGGTTTCCCCTTGAGGGCAGCCAGGGCTGGAGGAGGACCAGGGCCACTTAGCGCACGCAAGGTTCTTAGTCCACTGTGTAGGACACCGAACCTCCGAAAAGGGACCCGGAGGACAGAGAAAGGAAACGATTATTATTCTTGGGGGTGGGGGAAGGATGAGATTTGGGCGCGGGAATTATAGCCACCACCATCACTTCTAATCCGCGAGGCTCAGAAACTCGAGCCTGGTCTTCCAAGAAAAGGCTGGGAGAATATATCGCGGACTGGAATTTGGAGGGTAGGGATGCAGTGCGGGCTTCTTTTCTTTGAGAGAATCCAGCCTGGGCGCAGGGGGCGGGAATGATGGGGCCTTTAAACGACTGCTGCCAACTAGCATGTGCACTTCCCAGATCATCCCACATGCAGTGTGCTGCTCAGACCTTGCTTTTTCTCTGCTTTCTCGATTAATGGAACACCCTTTCTGTTCGGATTTTTAACATCGACTTTGTTGCTTTCTGAACTTCTGAGCGCTCACTTGGTACTTTTTCCTTCAATCCTAAAATATCTCAGAGAGCACAAGATTACTAATTTAAAGACAAAAAAAATTAAATCTGGGTATTTGGAGCAAAGTCTGGCTTTTAGTCTGCCTTTTCTAATTGGTTTTGTTCTGTGGGTTTCTCGCTTAACATTTTTGAGCCTCATCTTTCCCGGAGGGGCGGAAGAGGAAAGGAAGGAAGAGTGCACCTGGCACAGGGCTTTTACTGTGTACCTGTGACCTATAGGCTTGGTAGGTAGGTCGTTGTGCTTGGGTGGTCAGAACTGAGCTGAAACAAAAGTAGCAGCGCTCACTTGCCACTTTTCTTAGGGGAGGCTGGCGGGAAGGGAGGCAACTGGGAAAGCGTTCATAGGTAAGATACTACTTGGGTGGTGGGGCTGGAAGGGAGTGTAAGATCACAGGCTTTCCTGAGAGTTAGTTACCTTGAACGTTTTCAGGGCTGACTGGCGTTTTCAGGGCTGACTGACGAATGGGAATTCTAGCACCCCGTGAATTGGGTGGTGAGAAAAGTGAAGAGCCTGGTGAGCGGAGCAAAGGCCTCCCCCAACTGAGAAGGGGTGAATTTGGGGGATGTGTCCCCTCGTGTAATCCCCAGGGGAACACTTAATCCTTCATGGACTTTCTGGAGGAACAGTGGGCTCAGCATGAGGTCAAAGAAATTCTAGCCCTTCCAGAGACAATAGAACCCTCTTCTGCTTAGTTTCAGTGTTGAGCATGAAGGACAAGGGCACACGTGTAAAGCTCGGTGGAAGGCGCTTAAGAGGGAAATGTCAAACATCAGTTGTTAATGTTTTAACTTGCACTTTGTTAATTAAAACTAAGAAAACTGAAGCCAGGCACATTGGCAGACTTTTAATCTCAGCACTCAGGTGGGTCTTAAGGTTTCTAAATCCCTTCCAGCTTGGTTAGATCCTTTCTCAAAACAACAAATAAACAAAAAAGGATTGGGCAGGCCGTGTCTCCTCCTTGTGATGAAGCAAGAGTTCAAGGCCATCCGGGTGGTGGTGGTGCATGCCTTTATTCCCAGCACTCGGGAGGCAGAGGCAGGCGGATCTCTGTGAGTTCGAGACCAGCCTGGTCTACAAGAGCTAGTTCCAGGACAGGCTCCAAAACCACAGAGAAACCCTGTCTCGAAAAAAAAAAAAAGAAAAAAAAAACAAACAAACAAACAAAAAAAAACAAAAAACAAAAAAAAACAAGAGTTCAAGGCCAACCTGGGCTGGAGAGAGAGTCCACCTCAAAAACCTAATGATAGCAAAGAAAGCTTTGGCAATATGGTGATGAGCATTTTAGGAAAAAAAAGGTCAACTATATTCAGCTGTATGTTTATAGGTATGTAAGATCTGGAATTCTTAAAATGATCCATCACTAAATAAAGCTTAAGGCATGGCCTTGCTATCCACATTCACATTTGGAAAATGGGGTGATTTGACTACATCATAAGGATTTCTAAATTCCTTTTCTTTTCAATCAAGGGGTGCTTGGTGAGAGATCTATGTGTGAGGTCAACATTTAATTGTTGAAGTTTAAGTATTGGATGTGACTCAAGGGTGAGTCAAATGGTTGTACAGCTTGGGTGTGTGTACTCCCCCCTCCCATTTGTCAGTAATCCTTCCTAAGGGAGCAGTTTTATGATGTGATTTCAGTGGTGTTAAACTTCGCACTGTTACTGTTTCCGTTCCAGTCTAACCTGGTTACCAATGCAAGCTAATTCCAACCCACCCAACCACTGATCGTAGTCCTTAGCGCACTGGCTGATGAAGTAACCCAGAAGGTTGTTTCCACTAAAGCAAATGCTCGTTTTATTTATTTATTTAAGGTGTATTTTCATTTTATGTGCATTGGTTTCTCATCTGCCTGTGTGTCTGAGTGAGGGTGTCAGGTTCCCTGGAACTGGACTTACAGACAGTTGTGAACTGCCATGTAGGTGCTAGGAATTGAACCTGGGTCCTCTGGAAGAGCAGCCAGTACTTTTAACCGCTGATCCATCTCTCCAGCTCAACAAAGCTCATCTTGGGTCATCCTGTAAGTAAAGTGTTAGACTCTGAGGACTATTGATTCCAGGAAACATGAGATTCTCTTTTTTCAGCTCAAAGCTAATAAGAATAAATTGGTCACAACTCTTTTTGTTCTAGTCCCAGCCCCTAGTCAGGATGCTGGCTATGGAGAGCTGAGCGAGGCCTTATATCCTCTCCATGCTTGTTGCAGCAGTATCTTGCCAGCCAGTCAGCTCTGAAAACTTAGTTTAACTATGGTTCTTTTTGTCTTTTCTTGGGCTGGATATATTCAGGAAGCCGTTTCTAAAGTGACCTATGTTGTGAATCATTGTAGATGATACAAATGGTACATTGTAGATAGTGGGTAAATGTTAGTTGTGTGATAAATGCTTATGTGAGCCAGGTACACCTTTCCTTTATTGAATTAAAGCATCCCTTCCCAAAGTAACATGCTTCTCCCCACCCACCCCTCTTTCTTTTTGGTTTTTGGATACAAGATTTCCCTATGTAGCCCTGGCTGTTTTGGAACTTGCTATGTAGATTATACTGGCCTCAAATCAACAGAGATCTTCCTGCTTCTGCCTCCTGAGTGCTGAGATTAAAGATGTGATCACCAGCTAGGCCCAACATGAGCAACAGGACTGGTAAAAATGTAGAATTTCAGACTACTGCAGAACAAAATCACTAGTTTTAGCTAGAATATGTGACATAAAAATATAATTTAAAAATATGATTTTGGGCTAGGCATGTGCCTTTAATCCCAGCACTTGGGAGGCAGAGGCAAGTGGATCCCTATGAGTTTGAGGCCAGCCTGGTCTACAGAGTGAGTTATAGGACAGCCAGGGTTACACAGAGAAACCCTGTCTCGGAAAACCAAAAAAAAAAAAAAGATTTTATTGGTGATAATGGTTAAGAGTGAGTAGTTGGGGAGAAGATGCAGAGTTTCAACTAGTGAAAAATGCGTATTTTGCCACATTCAAATCCAAAGGCCTCTTGGGTTGGATTTACTGGTCCCTTGGGCTTCTCTCGATGCCAAGAATAGAATGTAGTCTGGAGTGAGAGCACTGGGATTGCCCCACAACTTTATTTTACTTGGAGTAAGTTTTACTGGGACCAGGTTTGCCTTTGAAGCATGCTTGTGAATCTTTGGCAGCTCTAGTCCACATTTTAAATATTAATAAATTAGGCCCATTGAGGTTTCCAGATAGAGGCGTGGCTTGTGCAGTGCAAACTGGCCTTAACTCAAGATCCTCTTGCATACTGAATGATGGTATGAGTAGGATGCCTCCTCTATCCTCCCTGAGATTTCCAACCTTTATGTGCTATAGCCTATTTGATTACAAGGCGTTTGTTGCTTTCCTAATTTCAAAACCCCTTAATTTAAGATAGTGACTCAGTTGGGGTGTTTTTATCATGGTCCACACTGTGAGGAGGAATTTGGCGGTTCTGGAGAAATAGGGTTGGAAATTTAGGTCGTTTACCTAGCATACATGAAGCCCTATTTTGATCATTCCCACAGGCCTGTAATCCCAATATTTAGGGGGAGCATGAAGATCGGAAGTTGAAGCCATCCTAAACTGCACAGTGAGTTCGAGGCAGCCCTGGATACATGAGACCCTGTCTCAAAAACAAAACAGAGCAAGTAAAACAAAAATCTGAGACTGTACATATGCTACTCACAGCTAGTCTGATAAATACGTTAAAGGTGCCTTCAAAGCCCTGCTACAGCCCAAAATGTCAGTAGTGCTCGCGTAGAGAATTCTGGCTTAAGTATGGTTAGACATTTCAATTAATAGTACGATAAACTATCAGTAAATTCCTTTGATCTTTTTTAGAAATACCTGTTTTGCATGTCAATTGTTATGGAAGGCACCACTTCCCCCAAGGTGCTGGTTGTTAGGGTCTAGGGATTACCTCCTACCCAGCCTGTGGAAATCTGTGGCTCTCCTAGTTTCCCTTGGTGAACTATTTTCTGGTGGAAGGATCCTTTTTTGTATGTGACTTCAGTAGCTAAAATGAATTGTAAAGCTTTATAACCAGTTTTGATTCTATTTAAGCCTTTTGTTTTGATTCACGAGCTTTCATCCCTTTATTCAGTACACTGTCTCCTTCACAAAGGATTCTCTTGTGCCTTTTGGCTTTAGTCATGGAGCCTTGGGATTCTGCGAGTGAGGAATGAAAACTTTGATCCCACCCTATGTTGAACTTATATGAGTGTCTTAAATTTGCATCATAAATGTCTTCGGTTAATTCTGATGCTGATAAAAATATAAAGTTCACTGCACTAGACTCTTAAAAAAAAGCCAAAAACCTCAAGTCTGCTTAAGAGTTCTCACTGCTTTTTCAGAGGACCAGAGTCACACAGCTCAGAATTGCCTGTACCTTCAATTCTATGAGGATCTGCTGCTTTCTTCTGGCCTCCACCAGTATCTCCAAAGACACAGGAGAATAATCATAACCAAAAACATCAAACAAAAGACAATCCCCCCAATGGTATCAGATTACTTTGATATACTTAATCCCAAGAACCCCCTCAGGACTGTCCTAGAGTCTTACTGAATGTACCTGAAGAATGCACTCAACTCACTGCTCCTCTGCTTCTAGTTCTTGGCCACAGCCTCACCATTTGTCTCCATTGGCAGAAGCGCTGGATCATTTGGTCCCTTTTCTCAAAAGATTCCCGGGTCGCCCGTACCTTGTGGAAAAACAAAATCAGTATCAGCCCAGAAGAAGATCCATTCCTGTCTAGTTCTTAACTCTTAGCACAACCCCTGCCCCCAGTCTTTTGCTTTGCTTGGAGGGTTGGCTCAGAATTGAACAGCTTGGGAGGGAGACATTGGTTCTACTTTGCTAGGTTTTTTACCATAAGTGAATTGTGTTTGAAATGTTTTATGGACTGCTTGGAAGAGGGCCCCAGTTAGAGTCTGCCTTTCTTTTGGCTTGCCTGTTTGGTTTACTTTGTTGTGAGTTTTATTTATTTTGTTTCTTTTTTATGAACCTCTCTTCCTCTGGATTTGTAGAAGATTCTTAGTAGAACTGATCATTCTCCAGATGACTCCAGGCAAAATAATCTTCCATTGCTGGGAGATTTGTTTTGTGAGCCTACCATTAAAAATTTGATCAAAATTTATTATATAAAAATCAAAAAATAATGAAAAATGTATAAACCATAGTGTTTCTATATAGAGTACTTTCTACATGATCTCAATTTCCTTAAGCTGCTGGAGGAAGCATATGGTAAAATTAATTTGTACTTTATATTAAGTAGTCTTTCCTAGCTTTCACTGAATGCTTCTCTCTTGTTTTAAATGCTTTGGGAGGGACAGTGGCTGTTGAAAACATTATAACCAAGGCGCTGACAGCCGCCTCCTCCCCTCCCCGTAGAGGAGAGGCACTTTTTCAAGTCCACTGACCCTATGTGAGCCATTAAAGAGAGGAGTTTCCAGTTGAATAACTGGTAGGCAATTTGTTTTGTTTGTTTTGAGAAAAGAAAGCCAGTTTGGTTTTTCTGTTGGAGGAATTACCAGTTTGGAATCTTCTCATCTCTCCTGCATACAGTTAAATTGGCTGTATTTGAATTGGCAACTCCTTCTTTAAAGAGTTGAGACTAACAGCCCTGAGGCGTTTAAAAGCTTTGATTCTTGGTGCTCTCTGGTTTTGGATTTGGTATCTTAAAGATTAGAGTTGCCACTCTTTAATTTAATTGCAACTCCATAACCTATCTCCACTAACCCTTGTAGCTAAGGATTCATTTATTAAACTACTGGACATTTGCGAGGGTATTTACCTGTGATCTGTAGACAGTGTGGATACTGAGGTAGGATGATCACAAGTTCATGTCAAGACTGGGCTGCATAGCAAGACATTAAAAAATTGTCTTATGGTTGAGTATTTAAAAATTTCTCCAGTATGGCTATTTGTGAGTTTACTTTTAGAGTTAATAATTATTCTGGTTGTTTAATCCACCATCTCATTACAATTGTAACCCAAACCTGCTGGTGAGCCCTGCAGCTCCAACCAACCATTTCATGGTAGTTTAATTACAAGCTTGGTTCTTTTGAAAAGTGAAGAAACCTCCTCAATTGAATCTGCAAACCAAGTATGTAAACCATGCACAAATGCTCTTTTAAACTCTTTAACAACTAGGCACTTTTCCAGACCTCAGGAAAAACAGCTCTGCTGCCCTACAGTGTGATGAGCCTGGGTTTCATTAAATTGGTAGTGTCATCTGTGTTCTTGGAGAAACCTTTGAGGAAGTGGCAATACCAGTAATCAAATGCATTGATGTTTTTAAGCCCCAAACTAAAAGGAGCTAGGAGGAACCAATAGCTTTTCTTGCTTCCCTGAGCTGATTTAACTGGATAGTTTAACAAATGCATCTTAATTCCTTCTCCATAAAGGCATTAATAAGACCAAAATCACACACATTGTGTCGTTGGGTGGGATAATCAATAAAATGCTTGGGAGAGTGTCAAATGAGATATAAAATACTTAACACTAATTACATACAGTATTTAGGGCCGAATGCTTTGAAACTGAGCCAGCCAATAACGATGCTCAGATAGATAGATAAAGTGGTACAAATTAGCTTACTCAGATTTGGAGAGTTCTGGCAAAAGAGAGGTGGAAATAATAAGATGGCTTATGATTTGAGCCCAGGTCTTATTTAAAGCCCCTGTTACATGTTATTGATGAAAGTGTTGGTATGACATGATTATTTTTACCCAAGAATGGAAATTTACTTAGTAAGAATCCTGAGCAATGTCTATGTTGCTGCTTTATTCAATACTGAATTCTCTTTTCCAGGAGTACAGATCATAGTGTTGAAACAAGGCTAAGTGATATGCATGCCCAAGGGCCTTCCAGATTTTTCTGTTGGCGTAGAACATAGACTTGAATGTAGAAGGTTTCTGAAATGAAAAAAAAAACTTTGAAAAAAGATTATTTTTAGGACCAATGCCTTGGATCACTCTCTGGGAAAGTACATTTTATAAAGTGGCATGTTTTATATTGGTGCTTAATGTCGAAGCTCAAAGTATCACACTGAGGCCTAAGTGCCTCAGTTCTGTTTGGAAGTGTTTTCAATGAGGTACCCTAGGCCTTCTTGTACAAATATCAGATATTTCTAGTTTGTCTAGTTTGGAGCAGGTGACTTTGGTGTTAGAAGAAAGAACTTGCCATCAGCTTAAGTCCTTTTGGTATGAGGTATAAAAATTTGGTAAGATTTAACAAAAAATAACTAGGCTGACAAGGTGACCCAGCTGGTATAATCCCTGGAACCCACATGATAGAGGAGAGAGCCAACTCCGTCAAGTTGTTCTTTGACATCTACAAGTGGGCATACACACAAAGCAAATGCAAAAAACCCAACATGCTTTGTTTTTCTTTGAATAAAGAATTTGGCTTCAGGAGACTGCAGAAAAAGAAACTGCTGAAGTAGTCATTTATAGAGTCAGCCTGCCTTCTTTCTTTCCTTCCTTCCTTCCTTCCTTCCTTCCTTCCTTCCTTATTTTGATATAGCTCTTCTCTGTGTGATCCTGGCTATTCTGGAACTCCCTACATAGACCAGTCTGATCTAGAACTTCTAGAACAGTGGTTCTTAACCTTCCTAATTCTGTGACCCTTTATGTTCCTCATGTTGTGACCCCAATCATAATATTTTTATTGCTACTTCATAACTGTAGTTTTGCTACTTTGTGAATTATAATGTAAATATCTGATAATACAGAGTATCTGACATGCGACCTCAAAGAGGTTATAACCCACAGGTTGAGAACCACTGATTTAGACACTGAATAACGAAGCCACCTGACATCCCTAGGCAGGACTCAGTCAGGCATCACAAGTCATCCTGTGATACATCAGCTTAAGCAGCATGCATTCAGAAGGGGAAAAGAGTAAACTCAGGCTACAACTATGAAGAGAACCAAAGCAGAAGAGAACATTAAAAGAAAACATCTGACCAAAGTTAAATAGCCACCCCTTCCCTTTATAGTGGCAACATTGGTATGTTTGTGAGGTATAAAAGGTCCCCAGCCACCACTTCCCAGAGCATTGGGGCACGTCTCAGACTGGCCCCGAGATAGGAGAGTGGTAATAATTTCCTTTAGCTTCATCCAGAAAGAAAACATGTAAAAAGTGGGATCGGCCAGGCCTGGTGGTGCATGCCTATAATCCTGGCTTCTTAGGAGGATGAGGTAATCAACCTTGTCTTAAAATAAAACGCACCCCCCACCCCCCCGCAAATTGTTGGAGACATAACTCAGTGTCATAGGACTTCCACAGCATGCACAAAGGTCCTGGGTTCCGTGGGTTCCGTAGCACAAGAGGAAGAAAATGGGATTCGCACTTCTAGAAATCCTTTCTAAGATCGTTCTTTACCCACTAACTCTAAGTGGACAGAATTCCTTACAAGTAAGGTCCCTAATATTGCTGTTTCATAGATTTTTGTCTCATCATATGTGCCCAACTGTGAGTCAACAATGAAATAATGTTCAAAGAGATTAAACAGTTAAAACATTATGTACTTTGTGGTTGTAAAAATCATGTTTTTGGGAACTATTCCTAACAAACTTCCTTGCTGGGTAGTGGTGGCCCTTAATCCCTGAGGCAGTGAGTTCAAGGCCAGCCTGGTCTGCAAGAGCTAGTTCCAGGACAGCCAGGGCTGTTTCACAGAGAAACCCTGTCTTGAAAGAAACAAAACAAACAACAACAAAAAGAAGCCTCCTCCACAGCACTATCAATTTCATATTTGTGTGAGGCCCTTCAAAATGGACCTGAGTATCTTATTCAGAGCCTAGATGGTGAGAGAAATGCCATGGTAGAATGGGAGAGAGAGAGAGAAGACAAACAATCCAAGCATGAACAGAGCCATGTGCTGTGACAAATTCCAGATGGGAAAAGAGCCATGTGAGGGGCCTGGGAACCTGTACTTCCAAATGTTTCCAGATGACTCAGAAGCGGGCAATCAACCTCACTGGCTTTCTGTGATCAAAAGGCAGAGGAGTAGGAAAACTTTTCTGGAAAGGTCCACATAGTAGAGTAATCAGGTGCTGCAGGCCAGTCAGGCTCCAAGTCCCAGATTTTCAAAGTGCCTTTACCTGTTATTTACAACTCTTTAAAAATGCTTAGCTGGAAGGTCAGATTAGACTAGGGCTTCTGAGCAGGATTTGGCCCAAGGACTTTAATTTGCTGACCCTTGGGTCTAAGGTCTTTTCTAGCTCTGAAGTCTTAATCAACAAGGACATTTAGCTCTAATTTGACAATCCAAATTTTTGAAGTGGCTTCTTAGAAGTTAAGCCACAAATAACACAAGCACTATTTCCTGCAGTTAAGTCACCAACTTCTTAATTAACTGCTAGAGAAAACTGTCAATCGTCTATCTAAGATGCCTGCCCTTGATGGAGTATTTGGAAATAACACTGGCAACTAGTGAAAACCATCCCATGATAGAGAATATTTAGGGGGAACAGTTTCCATTTTAAAGTTTTAAATCACCAATCTTGTTCCCACTTTAAGAAAAAAAAACAAGCTGGGAGGACATCAAGGAAAAACTGTCTCATTTAAAAAAAAAATTAGGGAAATAACAAACCAGCAAGGCTGGCAAAGGAAAAAAGAGAAGTCATGCCAATACTAGGAAAAAAACAAAATATCAGCAAAATGGGCTACCATTGCAGACCCCATAGGCACCAGAAGGCTAGGAGAATACTACAAATAATCTGACCCAGAAACACTTGACACCTTCCAGAAGAAATGGGCCAATTCCAACAGCACAGAATGCTACAATTTATTCAATATGAAATGGGGAATAGCTTAACAACCTTACAACTAAAAAAAAAACCACCTTAATTTTAATTGTGTAAACTCTAAAGACAGGGTAGATGAGATACCTCAGCAGGTGAAGATTCGCACCACCAAGCCTGACAACCTAAGTTCCATACCTGGGATCCACGTGGTAGAGGAGAGAAACAATTCCCACACCTTGTCTTCTGATCTCCACAGGTGCTTGCACTCTCTGTTTCACACAAACATGTAGATAAGTACTGTAATTTTAAAAAGGACTCCAAAGAACTCCTAAATAATTCTAACAAACATTCAAAGAAAAATTACCTCCATTTTGCTGTAACGGAAGAAGACAGCAGAGGAGAAGAGGCCTCAATTTTATGAAGTCAGAGATATTGGAATACCAAAACCCGACAAAGATAGTCCAAAACCAGATAGCTGCAGTTCAAAAGAATCCCTTGTGAACATAGACACAAAGTCTATAGCAAGCTGGCGGACAAATCCTTTGCGAATAGGATTCAACAGTTTAGAAGAATAATTACATAAATGACCAAGTGATAGCTTCATCTTGGTATACAAGAATGTTTCAATCGTTTAAAAAAACTATCAGGAAAAAACCTACCCAGTATATTAATAGGCCAAAGAAAAACCACATTATTCTAAATTAGGACAGAAAGAGTAATAGAAAATCTAACACCTCTTCAAGATAAAGGAAAAGAGAACTGAGCCTAATTTCCTTAATTCCATAAAGGGCGTCTACAAAGTCTACTTTACACAATAGCAAACAGTGAGCAGCTTCCCTCTCTAAGGGTAACAAGGTACATCTGTTCTCACCACTGCCAGTAAGCCAGCCAAGAAGTAGAGCCAGGTGAGCAAGGCACACAGTTTAACAGCTTTCCTAAGGTAAACCAGGTAGTAAGTGGTAGGTCCAGGACTGAAGCAGGTAGACTCCCAAACCCATTTCATTTCTCTGTTTTATGTGGCGCTGGCGTTTTGTGTCAGAACATGTGTAATGTCACAGGTCAGAGGAGGGGTCTGCTCTCTCCTTCCACCACGTGAGTTCCAGGCATGCCACTCAATTTGTCAAGCTTGGCGGCAAACATCTTTTACTCCCTAAGTTAGTGGTTCTCAACCTGTTGCAACTCCTTTGGTGGTCGAATCACCCTTACACAGGGATTGCATAGTGAATATTTACATTATGACTCATAATAGTAGCAAAATTGCAGCTATGAAGTAGCAATGAAAAAATTTTATTGTTGGGAGGTACCACAACGGAAACTATATTAAAGGGTCACAGCATTAGGAAGGTTGAGAACCACTAATAACTCATAACAACTAACAGTATTTATCTTTCCCCAAAATAAAAGCCAGGCCTTAGCAAAGGCTCCATCCCTATGCGTTTTTTAAAGTCTCATTTACTTTTGCTTTATGCATATGGTTGTTTTGCCTTCATTTTATATCTGTGCATCATATGTTTACAGTGCTCCCGGAAACCAGATGAGGGCACTGGATCCTCTGGATCTGGAAATACAGACTGCTATAGTTGCCACATGGTTGCTGGGAACCAAACTCCAAGATTTCTGGAACAGCAGCAGGGGCTCTTAACCCACTGAGCCATCTCTCCAGCCCCTCTGTGCTTTGTAAAAATTTAAACAATTTTAAGGATGACATGCATAGATATGCTTATGTGGATGGGAAAAAAGCTCAGACACTTAACTCTACACAAAGACCTATACACAACTAAGGAATCCTGAGAGCAGGAGAAATAGTGTTTGGTATTTGTTATCCAATACCAAATGATCAGCCCTGAAAATCTGTATACGAGTAACATCATACAGACCAAGCATGCCGTATTTATTTAGGAGTGTGTGTCTGTATGTAACAATAAATAAGAGGTCATGAATTTGAAAGAGCAATGGGGCAGGGGAAGTATTCATGGGAAGGCTTAGGGAGAAGAAAGAGGGAGATTGCATAATTATAATCTCAATACAATTTAAAAACAAAAATTAAACCAATTTTACATTTTTAGTTTGGTTTATGTGTATGTGTACATGCACGTGCACTGGCACCATGGTTCCTGTCCCAAGGCACATGGTTCCTGTGCCTGAGCCACAGTGTGCGTATGGAGGTCAGAGGACAGCCGGGAGGAGTTAGTTTTCCTCCAATGTGGCTTCTAGGTATCAAATCAGGTTCATGTGACTTGGCAGCAAGCACCTTTAGTCACTGAGCCATATTCCAGTCTACTGTGCTTTATTTCTCTACCTTGATTACATTCTCCCATAGGTTAAATTAGAAGGAAGATTGGAGTTTGCTCTCCAGGTGAACATAGGCTGTGAGGGTGAAGCCTAGACCTGGGCTTGTCTCCCTCTCTAGACTCCTAGTTTTGTGAAGAAAATGGTCTTACAAGGAAAGAGGGGATATAATTTTTTATTGGTATTTTTGTTTCCAAACCAAAGAAGACTCAGAATTGTTTGCTAAATTACATTTTTGTAAGCTCCTCCCCACTTACCAGGCTTATAGGGCACAGGTTGATATGACTGATTTTTAAAGTGAAACAACTGCATCTGCCCACCATCTAGGGTAGGTATGTTATGGGAAGCTATTATTGGCCCCATTGTGTCCTTAGAAATGTCTGTCCCTTTAACTGTTTTCTGTTGCAGTGGAAATGGGATGGCAGTGCAGGGAAATTAGCAGCACATTTCCATTATGTTATAACTTGGTATGTTGTAAATTTTAAGGAATAGTCATTGTGGCTAGTACTTCATAAACATTTCCATCTGGCTGGCCTTAATGTGTGTTTGCATGCAAGGAGTCTGGCTATTATTTCTGTGTTGGTGCTACATGGCTGTTAATCTAACTTCAGTTGGCCTTTTTTTCTTATTTCTTTCTGAAGTTAATGTTTCTTGGTTGGGTTGCTCTTTATGAACATCAAAAACCGTGGTCTAGAGCAAGCCTGACTTAAAATTGCTAACTCATCGTTGTTCTGGTCTGCATTTTGCAGCCATACTTCTCTTCTGTGACTGAAGAGCATTAGGAGCTCTGGCAGCAGGATAACTGCACAGGAAGAGTCCTGTGGTTGTCTCATACTTAAGAGCTTAAGAGTGCTCTTTAGACCTTTACTGTTGGGTGATGAGAAGAGATGGAAAGACTCCCTAAGCCACAGAGAAACCCTGTCTCGAAAAACCAAAAAAAAAAAAAAAAGAAAGACTCCCTACCTACTCTGTGGTCTTTACCTGCTGTCTTGCAGCTGTGCCTGAGCCTAGCAGAGACTTGTGTTGGAGGGACTTTGTCTTTCCTTGGTTATCTCTGAGTAAACAGGAATAGGAAGGCTCAGCTCATTTCTTTGAGTTTATTCTGACCTCTTTATTAAGTTATGATCCACACTGTAACAGATACCACTAATTGAATTTCTAAAAGCTTTTAAATTTTATTTATGTGTATGTGTGCATAACTGTGTGTTTGGGTGCCTGCAGTGGTCAGAAGGAGGCATAGGAATCCCTTGGAGCTGGAATTATATAATCAGTAGTGAGTTGCTTGATGTGGGTGTTGGGAACTGAACCCAGGTCTTCTGGAAGAGCAAGTGCTTTTAGCCCAGAAAACCTGTATTTTCTTAAAGGTATTGAGTCTTTACATTGGCCCACAAAATAACTAAGAACAAGATGAAAGCCGGCATCTGTCTTCATTTGTGTCCTGTCTTTTTTACTTTAGGTCAGACTCCTGCTTGATTCTGCTAAAGCTTGGTGATCACTAAGAAGTATGTCTACCTAATGTAGTAGGTACTAAAGTATGTCTATCTCATTCCCCTTTAAGGCTGAGAAGAGCCATTTATCTAAGCCCACAGTTACCCTAGATTACTAGAATAAGGCCTTGCAGGTCAAGCATAGCCTGTTAGAATTGCTGGGACCAGGTTTTAAAACTCCATATGCAACTTGGATATATGATTCCCTGGCTGTATTATAGTTTTCAGTATAATATCCACAGAGTTCTGTGACTACCACCATAGTCAGTCTTAGAATATTTTCATTGCTTTGGAAAGAAACCTTGTTATTCCCTAGTTGTTAGCCTAGTTCCTTCTGACTTTAAAAAATAATTTATTTAACTTTATTTTATGTGGATTGGTGTGAAGGTATCAGAGGTATCAGATCCCCAGAAACTGAAGTTACACACAGTTTTAGCTGTCATGTGGGTGCTGGGAATTGAACCGGGTCCTCTGGAAGAACAGCCAGTGCTCTTAGTCCCTGAGCCATCTCTCCAGACCCACTTCTGACTTCTTTATCATTGATTCCTCCCATGCTCTGGCAACAGCTATCTTTCAGAGTTAGCATTTATGATCACATAGAGATAGAGTTGTGTGTTCTCTAGTCCCTTATATTTGGCTTCTTTATGTTTTTGAGATCCATCCATGTTGAATGTAGCATGTATCTGTACTTTGTTTCATTTGTGGCTGAGTAACAGCCCACAGGATGGATAATAACACACATTGCTCATCCATTTATACCTTGATGGACATTTTGGTTGCTTTTGCTTTTTGGGTGTTATGAGTCACGTTGCACCAAACATTCATATCTGCTTCTGTTTGAGGTGATTAATTGCCATGCAACTGTTGTTTGAGAGAGAGAGAGAGAGAGAGAGAGAGAGAGAGAGAGAGAGCGGAGAGAGAGAGCGCCAGAGAGCCAGACCCAGAGACAAAGACAGGAAGACTGGACTTGAAAATACAAAACCAAACCGTCAGAGATTGACTGGTCTAGGATCCAGAACCACCTGTTTTTACCTTCAATTTAATCCGTGGAAAGTTATTTGGTTTCTGAATGTCTTGAGAAATCTGGACAGACCCTTTTTGAAGTTAAAAAGTTAAAAAATATAAATTGCAATTTAGACTTCCTTACTGTGAAAGCTTTTAAAAGATAACGCACACATACACACTTGTTACACACACACACACACACACACAGAGCAATGCATGCCTGTAGTCTCATCTACTAAGGAGGCTGAGGCAGGAGAATCGCTTGAGTGCAGGAGTTTGGGCTTAGCCTGAACAACATAGTCAGACTGTCACAAAACAAAAGCAAACAAAAAACAAGGCACTGGAGAGATGGCTCAACCCTTGCTGCTCTTGCTGCCTTTCCAAGGCACTCTAATTCAGCTAGTTTTCAGTGCTCATGTTGGATGGGTGGCCTGCAACTGGTGTAACTGGCTCCAGGGCATCTGATTCGGTCTTCTGGCCTGCTCAGCACCTGCATGTATTTTATGCATGCATTTAGACAAAAGACTACAAATGTACATAAATAAATAAAAATTTAAACACTTCCCTTATAGTCATATTTTATTTGTGTTTTAATAAATAAAGCTTGCCTGAAGATCAGAGTGCAAAGCTAGCCACACTAGTCAGCTATACAGGCCAGGCAGTGGTGGCATACACCTTTAATCCAGCAGCCATACTAGTTGGCCATAGAGGCTGGGCAGTAGAGGTGCATGCCTTTAATCCCAGCACTAGAGAGGAATAGAAGACAGGAGGAGACAGGAGCTCAAGGTCTCAGTCTGCAGTCATACTGAGAATAGGCTTACCCGGCTTTGGTGTAGAGGTAAGAACTCTGTAGTAGCTGGCTGCTTTGCTTTTCTGATCTTCTTTGCTTTTCTGATCTTCAGGTTGAACCCCAATATCTGTCTTTGGGTTTTTATTATTCATGCTGCATCCCCTCAAAAAAAAAAAAACAAAAAAACAAAACCATCACACCTGCCCCTACCTCCCCCAACCTCCCAAACAGACACTGCCCAACCAAACCAAACAAAAAGACCAGCAAATTTCTGGAGACTTTAGGGAATACTTGGTTGAGAGGAAGCCTGTGAGTGGTTCTTTATAGTCTTTTACAAAAGGAATCATGCCAGTGGTTGGTAATTCCTGAACACACAGTTCTTTTTGGATCGCCATAATTCACATAGAAGGCATTTTAGTGTACAGTTACAAGTTTGAATTAATGCCTGCAGTTGGGTGCTCATCATTGCTGCTCCTGTTACTACTACTACTACCACCACCACCCCCTCAAATGGATTTTTAAGGAGACTAAGACTTCAAAGTGGATTGTGTTCTGGTGTTCCTTGCTTCCTCTTTTGGGATTGATTATGAAAAAAACAAAAAACCCCAAAGTTAGTTTATGTGTGAAGGAAACTACATGGCTTAAGCCTAAGTTCTTTAGCTTTGAATGTGCGCTAATGTGAGTCTGGGGTTTAGGAGAAAGAACTTTGGTGTGTTAGTAGTTTCCCTGCAGGCGGCTGCAGAATGTCTTTCCATGTAAAAGCTTCAGAGCTTTGGAAAGACCAAGTTGGAGTGGCTTAGTCTGCAGCTGCTGTAGGAGTGGCCTTCTGTCTCTAGCTCATCACTTTTAGCATGTGATGATGAGACTGTTTAAACATCCCATGGAGTTTAAATGGCTTGAGCCCTACTGTGGGAGAGTAGTTTTGGTGGGGGATTAATGATGAGGTATGGAATTCCCAGGCTTTACAATTAAAAGTATGCTTGACCAGAATAGAAATTCAACACCCTCCCATTTCAGAAGCCAGATGCTGTGTGAATGTGAAAGCCAAAAACAGTGCAGAGAAAAAAATTGTTCCAATTCCTTCCTCTTATAGAGGAGATTTAAGACTGCCCATGGGATGACCAGCTGAGTTGGCTGTGGAGTCCCATGACTCTGAATGAAAGACGGCATCTGTTCATAAGACACAGCTGGAGTTTACAGCTTTAGAAATTTCTCAAGACATTCAGTGTGTCCAGGCCATAGTTTTCCTAAGAGTAGTTTTTTAATTTGAAAAATGTAAAGCCATACATCAAAGTCCCAAGTGTTAGAATTTGCCAAATTCCCTAGGGCATCCTCTAATGTACTGGGCTTGATAAAGGTGTATTTTGTTCCCTAAAAATGAAGAAGGACCTGGACTGAAGGCACGACAAGTTTTCTGTCTTTATCAGCATCTTGGGTTTTTAGTCAGTATGTCTCCTTGGGCTCCTAAGGTCGTTCCAGCTAACCTGTTGCTTACCCTATGGCGGCACATGCAGCTGATCTATTTTATGGTTGAGGAAGTTAGGTCTCCAAGTGAGATGTGTCCCAGCCAGGGAATTTGGGTGGAGCAGAGACCGTGTTGGGGGTTTGTAGGAAAAGTTTGGTAGGAGGGTACTATTTTAGGTACATTTTTAGAACCAATGTGGCCAATGGTTCGGGTAAAGTTTCACTCACCAGAAATACTTAAGTCCAGAAGTGTTTTAGATTGTACATTAAATGTTTTTTACTTAATTTTTGAATATTTATAGGTTTGGTGATGGGATATAAGTTTAAATACAGCATTTATGTGTTTCTATAGCTACTTCTTTATGTTTCAGATATAACTTATATACAGTCTGAATTTGCTATTTCATAGAATATTATAAGTGAATTTTAGAGTTTGAGATTACAGAGCTTCATCCTCTATACTTAGAAGAAGAGACACCATGAGCCGGATTGTGATTTCAGATTGGAACTGTGTGAACAGCTGCCTAGCAGGTGGAGTCCAGCAGCACAGACAGGTTTGGCCTTCAGCCATCTGGGGCGAGGGGTCAGAGGAGGAGTTTCTCAAAGAGAGTCCTGGTAGGAGAGATGACAGTTAGCCCCCCGCCCGTGTGTGTGTGTGTGTGTGTGTGTGTGTGTGAGAGAGAGAGAGAGAGAGAGAGAGAGAGAGAGAGAGAGAGAGAGAGAGAGAGAAATATGTGTGCAAGTATGTATGAATGCTAGAGGTCAACCTTGTGTATCATTCCTCAGGTTCTTTCCATCTTACTTTTTGGGACAGACTCTCTCACTGACCTGAGGCTCAGGTTATACTGGCTGGCTAGTGAGCCCCATGGATCTGCCTAGCTGTACCTTTAACTCCACAACACTGGGACTATAAGTGTGTTCCACCATGCCTGGCTTTAATTTTTAAACGTGGGTTCTGGGGATTGAACTAAAGCCTTCATTTTTGTATAGCAGACACTTTATCAACTGAACGCTCTCTCCAGCCTGACATTTAGGGTCTCAGTTCCTTTTCTTTTTTCCATTCCTATTGTCCTTTCTTTTGTTTTTGCTATTGGTGAGATATGTGTGTGTATATATATATATATGCCACATCATCATAAGTTGTTGTCAAATAAACAAAGGTAGCATCCTAGAAATGGGAACATTGTGTTGTTCATTAGAAAAAGAACATATGTTTACCTTGGGAGAGGTCACTCTGTTTGGAGCCTTTTGGAAGATTCTTAGTACTAATTCAAAGGTTATGTTATACCTCAACTTTCTTGGCCATTGTAATAAATTTTCTCAGAACTTCCAAACAGCAGTTTACTGGCCTACTTTGGATTATTATGTCTACTTTAAAGTACATTCATCTCTTAGCCTTCGGATCTTCTTAACATTTTCTCCTGATCTGTAGGCATTTATGATGCCGCTGTCCTACCTTGTTTTGTCAAATTTGGATATCCTCCGGTCTCACTCCGGTCTCACTCCGGTCTCACTCTCATTTCACCATGTATAGGGTATCTAGTAGTTCTCAAAAGTATTTACTACTCTTTCTCCTGTTTCCTGAACTTGGGCACTTTTTTTTTTGTCAAGGGCGATGCATCCTTGTCATTTGATAGATGACTGGAGTTTTTAACGTCCTGAAAGGGACAAGTTGGTCCTTCATAAATTGTTACTCTCACCCCCAATTTGAATATTGAGGTATGCTGATAAAGCAAACCCAGTTTTTTGGGTCAAGTTTCATGTTGTGTACCATACATGTATGAAGGTTAGGTTTTCAGTATTGCAAAGCATTTTCTGGAGCATTTCATGGAATACTAATGACTTTAATTAGTAGAGTTTAGACTTTATCTTGAGGAAAACTATCTGTCTGTCCATCTATCATCTATCTATCTAATCTATCTGAGACAGTTTCAATAGCTCTGACCAGCTTCAAACTTCCAGAGATCTATCAGCCTCTGGTTCCCTGGGATTAAAGGCATGCACCACTATGCCTGGCTAGGCTTTATTTTTGTTGCTTGAGAATTTCAGATGCAAATAATATGTTTTTATCAAATACACACCCTGAGTATGTTCTGTAGCTTTTTGAACTTGAGTGTATTTAGTGTGAAAATGCTGGGTGGAGGGTCCATATTTCTTAGTCCTGGACATGGAACTCAGGACTGCACATGGTAAGGGATATACCTTCAGCTCTTTCTTTTTTTGCACAGGATGGTTTAGATAACTGCACATTGGAAATTCTCAGGGAGTTTTTAAAAATATTGGTTTCTGGGTCCCACACTCAGGTTTTTATTTTGGTCAAGCAGATGGCATGGGAATTTTTAATCATTCTCCAGGTGATTTATAATGTGCACTTAGGATTCAACACCACTGATCTAGATGGTTTCTAAACTATGTAGAGATAAAATAATAATGATTGTGAATTTAGCTAATTGAAAATGAATTTCATTTACCTGCACAAACATCTGTTGAGCACCTAAGATCAAGATAAGTAAGTCACCACCAGAGCTCAGAGCCCTGGCTTTCAGTCTTCTATTAAACCCTGACTCTTGTAAAAGGGGACTATTCATCCCCTTTCTTCCCTCCAGAGTCTTTAGGGCCTGAGTACAGCAGGGATAACAAGAGAGGCCCCAGATCAGGAAAAAAATGGATGTGAAGTGGGCAGTAAATCAAATAAAATGACCCCAATGTCCTACAGACACCTTCCTGGCAAGGCTGGCCCACTCAAGACACCCACAGGATCCAGGATCCACAAAACACTCTGGGCAGGTGAGTAAGTAAATAATTAGCCTTCCACAAACACTTTCATTCAGACATGCCTGGTTTTACTAAATTAGGGTGGAGGGGTGTAATGCCCATAGTGTGGAAACAAGTAACACTTCAAATTGGATTTCTTTTTTAACCCTTTGGTTTTTATCTTTAGCCTGGCCAGAGGGGTGCTTTTAGTCCATATGATGCCTTTTGGTTAGTTGTACCAGTCAGAAAAAGGGATGGCTACCATGCTGGCAGAAATCAAGAACTTTGCATGGCATCTGAAGCATCCCATTTCCTTGGCCCAGGTAACTGAGTTTATAGTAGCTCGCCACACCAGGTTCCAGTTCCTGGTTCATCACATCCAGGATAATGCTGGATTTCCCCCTTTCATTTGTTTTGTTTTGTAGCATGCCAACAAGAACACAGCCTTGAGGCCATTTACCAGGAATGATTATTTGTTTTATACACTCTCAAAACAGAGAACATCTGTCTAGCCAAGGAGAACTGTAAAATGACACAGTGATTTCCACATTTAGGGTAGCTTCTATTGGTCTGGGTTTTCTTTTCCTTCCTGCACTGTGTTCGGCTCAATCACCTGCACAGTGTACTGATCCAATAGGTTATGATGCCAAGTAAACGGAACTTAAACAGGTTTCATTCATGTGATCAAGTTTGCAAATCAAATGTTTTTCCCCCTTTATATTTTTCTATGTGTATGGGTGTTTTGCCTGCATGTTTGTCTTAGTTAGGATTTCTATTGCTAGATAAAACACCATGACCACAAAGCAACTTGTGGAGGAAAGGAAAGGGTTTATTCAGCTTATGCTGCCACATCCTAGTCCATCAAAGGAGGCCAAGATAGGAATTGTAGTAGGACAGGAACTTGGAGGCCAGAGCTGATGTAGAGGCCATGGAGGGTTGCTGCATACTGGCTTTCTTATGGCTTGCTCAGCCTACATTCTAATAGAACACAGGACCTCCATTCCAGGGATGGCCCCACCCACAGTGGGCTGGGCCTTCCCCACCAATTACTAATCAAGAAAATGCCTTACAGGCGAATCTTTTAAAATTTTTAATGATTTATTTGTACTTTATGTGCATTGATGCTTCACTTGCATGTGTACCTTTGTGAGGGTGCTGGATTCCCTAGAACTGGAGTTAGAGACAGTTGTGAGCCGCCATGTAGAAGCTGAGAATTGAACCCTGGTCCTCAGGAAGAACAACTTAATTACTGAGCAATCTCTCCAGCCCCCTCTTATGGAGGCATTTTCTCAATTAAGGTTCCCCTCCTTTCAGATAACTCAGGTTTGTGTGTCCAATTGACCTAAGTTGACATTGTGCCAGCACAACGTGTCTGCACTATGGTGCATGCGGTGCTTAGAGAGGCCAGAAGGATGTTGGATCCCGACTGGAACTGGAGTTACAGATGGTTTTGAGCCACCATGTTGGTACTGAGAGTTAAACTCCTCCTTTAGAAGAACAGCCAGTACTTTTACACAGATGGAATCATCTCTCTAGCCCCCAGAAATACATTTTAGGGGAGATGGGTTGTCTTAAATGCTGTGGTTCTGGAGATACAGTTCAGACTTTCTGTTTTAATTTCCTAAAACCAGTTACAGAAGAGCAAAGCAAGCTGGATTATTTTCTGACAAATGGGTTTGCCAAAGGTACGGTTTTGCTAGGAAGAGAATTCAGTGATTCATTGGGCTGCCGCTTGTATTCCCAGCTGCTTTTGTTGGAATGGGTGTATGGCATGATTCTGTGTCCTGCCTTTCTGTCTGATTTGAGGCTTTGTTTTGGAGGTGACTTAAGCTCCTTCAGTTTGGCTATCAAGTCACTTGCCCTTCATTTTCCCTGTGTCTTTTGTCTCTTAAAAGGACACTTATTGGGTTTAAAGCCCACTTAGACAGTCTAGATGCCCTTATCTGGTGATATGTAATTCAATTACATCTGCAAAAGACTTTCCCTAGTAAAGGCCTGTTTCTTCTCTTTTTTTCCCTATGAGGAGCCAGTCTACATTGGTTCTTCATTTACCTTTTTCAGGGAATGGCTGCTTTGCAGATATAATTGCAGGATTAACTGAATTTTGCTCTTTCAAGTATTGCCATGTTGTTGGAGATTCTGACTTTGCCAAATGAGCCTGTTGGAGGTTAATGAATGCTGATTTGTTTTCTTTCGTTTTGTTGAGACAGGGCTTCACTCTGTAGCCAAGACTGACCTGGAACTCACACTGTAGCCAGGCTGGTATTGAACTCTTGGCAAATTCTCCTGTCTTAGCCTCCAGAGCCACCATGCATGTCCAGCCAGTTAGTTCATGGTGCCAAGCTCTACAGAGGGGCGAGTTGTGAGGTGGGGCAGGATGGAGAGAGGAAATACTCACGACCCAGTAGTTTCTTCTGTTGGGATTGTTCAGTTTTTGCTGGTTCCGAGTTTGTTACTGGATGTCATTTTTTAATTTCTATTTTTTTGTTTATATCAGCAACAGTTTCCTTTTGTAAACATCCAGAAAATTAAACAAAAATTCCTATTGGTAATGAAGCTCATCAATAATTGGTATGCATCCCCTTGTTAGGACTATGTGTTCCCACTAATATATTTAGCTGAAAATGGAACCTCATTCTTTTGAAATCTTTAGTTTCATTGAATGGTTATTTCCCTGTGTTTTTGGTATTTGTGGTCATTCCTTGTGTTCTTATTGGGTAGCCGGGTGTTCTTTGTAGCCTTTCCATACAGGGTGGAGAATGTTTAGATTTTCTTGTAAGTAATCAGATCATGTCACTCACTTTAGCTTTTCTTACTTTTTATTTAATTAATTTAATTATTTAAATTTGATTTTACTTATTTAATTAATGTATTTAGTTTATTTCATTTGAATGTTTGTGGTGCTGGGGATGGAGCCTAGGGCCCCAGCCATACTGGCTAGTACTCTACTACTGAACTCACACTTCGGCCTTTAGCTTTTCTTCTGGATACCTTTTTCCTAATCACCGCCCCATGTTTCCTGTCTTCCAGCTGACGGTGAGGCCATTCTGAAAGGCCTTCAGTCCATTTTTCAGGAGCAGGGGATGACAGAGTCAGTGCACACCTGGCAGGACCATGGCTATTTAGCAACCTACACGAACAAAAACGGCAGGTAAGGTGATCTCATGGGCTTTAGATGGAAACAAAGTTGGGGTTAGGGGATGATATTCAAACTTTTTTTTTTGTCATTTGACAATTTTAGAGGGGCCTAAAATTTGGTGCTTTTACAACCTTTTCCTGCCCAGGCATTTCCCCCAGAGCAGAAGGCCATTGGACCTGGACCTCTGTATTTCTTTAAAGCCCTAGTGATTCTTCTATGTGACTAGGACCAAAACAAGACACCTGGCAACAGAAATAGTGTGATATTTGGCCGGCAATGATGTGGAGTTGGTTAAAACCGATTTCTGGACCCCCCCGCCACACTCACACCTCAGACTTTCTGCTCCAGTGGTTCTGGGTCAGAGTCCCCTCCTCACCTGTTGCATTTCCAACAAGGCCCTGGTTGCATTGTTGCTACAGCTGCTGGCTAGACCATTGTTAAAAGAGACTATTTTTAACTAAAGACCATAGTAAAACACAGGATGGAAACAAGTCTGGCTCAGGAAGGTGAATATCCTGTGTTTTATCTCATGGAAACTACATTTAAAATTACATGTGTGTGTGTTTATGTTTGTCAGTCATGAAACTAGAAAGGGTATCATGAAAAAGGAGGAAGAGATCCTGGAGGCTGGAAATGGAAGGTTACAAGAAACCATAAGAGAGGACTGATGGGGTAGAGGGTGAGGGGGTGGGGGATGCTTCTCAAAGGTAAGCCAAGCGCAGACTCATATTGTGCCTATGTGGCCAGTCTTCATGTATGTGTTTACCAGTTGCCTCAGGTATATCTAAAGTGATAACTTCTTCCTTTAGACTGTCCTATATTCAGTAGAACCACTAGCCTTCCTCAGCTCTCTCTTGTCCCCTGCTTCCAAAAACAGAGGGCCTTCAGCTCTCCTCTAGCCCAGTGTTTCATGTAGGCCTATACTCAGTCTCTCTTTGTCATGTACCCTCACTCTATTTTTGCTGTGGTTCTTTTTTTTTTGTGGATTAGAGCATGTTGAACACTGCTGCCTGATGGGTTCCTTCACACAAAGGTGAAAAGTTTCCAGTCTTAGCCATCTCCCAAGCCTCTGTAACAAAGCTTTACCTGTTTTTTATTTAAAAAGTTAAGAGCTGGGCTGTGTGGCACATGCCTTTAATCCCAGCACTTGGGAGGCAGAGGCAGGTGAATCCCTGTGAGTTCGAGACTAGCCTGGTCTACAAGAGCTAGTTCCAGGACAGCTAGAACTGTTACACAGGGAAACCCTGTCTCCTAAATAAAGAAATAAATAAATAAATAAATAAAATTATTTTCTGCGTTTGGATATTTTACATACATATATGTCTTTCTACCATTTGCATGTAATGCCTGAAGCCATATAGTTTTGAGTTGCCTTGTGGGTGCTGAGAATTGAACCCAGGTCCTTTGGAAGAGCAAACAGTGTTCTTTATATCTTTCCAGTCACAATTCCATTTGTATACAAAGCCCTTAGAATTATTCTTTCTTCAGAAGGGATCTTTTGAGTGTCAAGAATCGTTCAGAAATGTGTGGGAGGATGGGGGAAATATATTTCAGGACTAAATAATACCTTCAGGTGAGTCCCTGAGGCCAATTCTAAAAAAGGAGACCAATGTAGAAAGTAAGTTGTTGTTGTTACTATTTTGTTTTTTTTCCGAGACGGTTTTCTCTGTGTAACAGCCCTGGCTGTCCAGGGTGGCCTCCAACTCACAGAGCTCCACCAGTCCCTGTCTCCCAAATGCTGGAATTAAAGGCGTGCGCCTGCATTACCAGGTAGAAAGTAAGTGTTTAGATTAAAATACTCGTAATGGTTTCGTCACACATTCTTCCCTTTTGTATGTAGACAATTTGTTCAA